TCGTTTTTTTTACCCACAAAATGCATATATATATCATGAATAAGTATGGTTATAATGTTGATTATGACTGATCAATACCATATTGACTAATACAACATATGTTGTGCTAATTGAAATTATATACCGACAAATCATGCTTTACGGTATGATTTATAAATATATTTCATATACTGAAATTAATAGTATTTTTGGTTATATGAACTATTGTCATTTGTTATTATTTCATATAAATATTGATTAATATTTTATATACCAATCACATATAATTGGTATAGTGCCAATAAATTTTATGTCAAACTCGGACAAAATTGTGAATATATCTCAAAATCAAAGACCTCCGGAGGATAGATTCCAGGTTTAATGTATCCGGAGCAACAGACTATGTCTATCCCAAAAAAATAGGCTCTGATACCATGTTAAAATATTTTGCGGAAACTCTAAAGCTTGCATTGTTGATAATCAAAATAAGGGGCCTATATATAGGCAACTTAAAACAGACTCGATAGACTCAAATCTAAATAACGTGATCTAATGAATATGACCAAATCTAAATCTAAATCTAACAAATCTAAAACTAAATATCGAAAATCTATCAACATTAATAAAAATATGTTGTTTTTTTTTACATAAAAATATCAAATCAAAATACTATTTGAACAAAAATTCAAATCAATACTATATTTCAAATTAATTTAAAACCATAAATGTTAGAAATTTACAAACATATATATATATGTACAAATACTAGAGATTATTTTCTTAAAATTGTATTAAAATATATATAAACCGTTATGTATATATTATTTCATTAATTCAATTAAATTATAAATAGTATAAAGAAAAATTATGTTTATCCAAACTGCATGCTCTCCACTAATTAAAAAATCAAAAGGGTTTTATAATAATAATAAAAAAAAAGAAACAAAAAAGGTTTTATAATAAACCATTTAATCATTAGTGAGATAAAGAAGTTTATATAATAAATTAAATACAAGTTGATTTCATGTTCCGGTTTTCATTTTTTTTTTAAAAATTTATTATACATTAATATTCACGCTCATTTTATGTAAAAATATATTCTTTTTATTTTACGACTTGTGCTCACATTGTTATTTTTATACGTTTTGTATCTTATATTTTATTTATTTATTTTTTAAATTAAAAGGATTTTAATCATATTTTAAATTTTTTAATTTTAATTAAATTAATAAATTATTTTAATATTAATTTATAATTATTTATAATATAGTATAATTATTTTTACTAATTATTTATTAATTATACATTTATTAAATTATTGTATCCGTAGTTTTTCTTACAAAATATTTAATTCAATAACTATTTAAACACAAACACAGAATACAAACCATATACACTCTTTTTGTCAAATTTTGAAGCAATTATTTTACCTTAAGAATGTCGAAAACCTTTTCATTATTATTATTATTATTATTGAAAATATATATAAACAAAATTTGTAACTTAAAAAATTATATTAGCATTGTAACCTGGAATGATTGAGTATTTCATTTCATGATTATTTTTTCAACGATGATTCCATCTTTACGTAAGAATCAATTATGTATATATTAATTATTATACTTTCTACGTCCGCTTTAAAAGTTTACATTTACTTTTACGTGTTAATTTTTGAATATTAATTATTATATCAAAACCTAGTATAAATAAAAAAAAAATGGCAAAAAAACTTGTATTATTGTCTTATAATAGTAATAGAATGACATTTATAAAAAAAATATATAAATATAAGGATATTTATAATGTTAGGTAGAATGACGCAAAAGATAAATGTAAACTTATTAAGTGAACGGAAGGAATAGTATTTATATGTTGTTAATGATTTTTTAGCTAGTTACGAGAAAATTTAATTAAAAACCCTAATAATTATATGTATATATTTATAATAATTATATTTTAATGTTAATATTCTTTTTGAAAATTATTTTTTTGATATGTAAAATAATTAGTATAAATATTCTTAAGATATACTCCCTCTCAACTGAAAATATTTTTTTAAATTTGTACTGTATTAAGAAATAATAGTATTTTACGTTAATTGAAATATAAGAGATTTTGATATTTTTGTGCTTTGATTTTTATTTATAAAATAATTATATATGTAATGCTATATTTGTAATTTAAATCAAAGTTAAAAGATATTTTGGTATTAATGTTTAATTATTTTTTCTAAAATAAAAAAAATACTTTTGAGTGGAATAAAAATAATAAAAAAATATTTTAAATTTGGGCAGGAGAAAGTACAAATTACTTTAAACATATTATCAATAATTATAACTTTGAAAGTTTTAATTGAACAAAACATTAAACTATTAACAAATTAAGTACTATTTGCACAAAAATCAACATATTTAATTAATTAAAATTTTAAGCAATTGTTTTAAATTATTGGAAGGATATTTACTTGTGTTTTATATATATATATATATATAATTAATTAATTAAAATTTTAAGCAATTGTTTTAAATTATTTGAAGTATATTTACTTGTGTTTATATATATATAATATTTTTTTAATTGATATAATTATTAAATGTGATATTTTAATTTAGAAAATGGTGCTTGATCTTATATTTTATTTTATTGAATAGTAACAAAATAAAAATAAACACATAATTATATGAAATTATTTTTTCTCAAAAACAATATTGTTAAATAATATTATATTAAAAAAAATTAATACAAAATCTATTTATTTTACATTAAAAATAATTTTTATTCTCATTTATTTAAATACAAAAATAAATCTATTAAAATAAAAATAAAGGACTAAGACATAACCCTCAAAACCAAAGTTTTAGTTGGATATTTTAGTTAAGTTTCATACTATTCATTATTTATTTATTTAAAGAAATTTTATATATACTTAATTTTTATTAAAAATATCTTATTAAATATATAATTATATTATATTAAATACATTTCAATTGAACAGTTTCAACTAATTAATTATTCTATAAAAATTGATACATTTTTATTTTTAATAAATTGATCAATATTAAATATATTTAACAAATATAAATTAACTTAATTAGATTTTTGATATTTTACAAGATAGAATTTAAAACTCTTTCATTTCAATATCTTATCTCAATCAATTTAATTAATTTTCTAATATTTTACACGTAGATTCATTCAAACCTCTTTATTTCAATTTCGCCTTAATAAATAAAGATTTTTATCTATGTTTAAAATTCATTAATTTTTATAAAATTAGTTTATGTTAATTATAAACAAATTAAATTTTTTTATTTAATTAGATTATATAAATTTTATTGAGAAAATAATGTTTAAAATATTTAAATATATATAATAATATCGGGTTCCTACGTCATTCAAAAAAAATAACAAAAAAAAAATAATACTCCCTCTGTCTCATTGAAAAATTACCATTTTTCATTTTCGTCCGTCCCAAAACAAGGTTACTATTTCCTAATTAAGTAAATTGTACTACCTACTTAACATAATAGATATCATTTCAACTTACAATATATTACACAAATGTCATTACTTTTATATTAGACCATACTAATAGGGATATTTTTGTCTTTTTTTGTAACACCCCCAGTTGGCTCATACTGGAAATGCTACCGCCACACTGCATCATGAGGTCGTCACCTCCTACTTCGAGCCCCACAACACAGTGTTAAGGCTAAAATTAATTATATAAGCATTTTATTATTTCCAAAAAAACAAGTTTATAAATATTTACAAAAACATACTCCCAAAACGGGAGGTTTTTCTAGTTAGAATTTACATATAATACATCAGATGCAGTTCACTCATTCAGCCCGTCTTTCTATCTCCCGAGACGTCCCCTGTCCCGGAGGTGCCATGCGTACCTGAATCAAATATTTTTCTTAAAAGCAGTCTAGAATTAAATCCATTTTAAGAACTAACATAAAATATGCCATGTCATGCTCGAAAATAGAGTTTAATTTCCGTCATTTGCAAAATAAATGCCATGCCATGCCCATACTGAAATAATGTAACAATAATGTCAAAATCGACAACTCATGCACATATACCCATATACATATGTCAAAGTGAGCAGCCGGAATAACCTCGGCTCCATAATAACGGCTCACTAGACTATCATCAATAAATAGCCGGAAAATCCTCGGCTCAAGGAAGGACCTGGTAAACCCATAATAATATAACGGTCACCCGGTCACTTCCATATACCCACCATACGACTCCCGCAATCAATACATGGATAGCCGAGCGTTGTCGCCATTAACCACAAGACACCCCATAGTCTGTGATAGCGAAGATAGGACCCTCCTGTCTAGCCCTACCCCGTGTAACGTAGTAGAATCCGTGCAACCTGGAATCACCCGAAGGAAACCCGGAAACTCTACTCCTCTTCGCACGCCCTAACGGGATCGCGTTTGGAGTTTGGCATATGATCCTAAACTACCGGTAGACCTCACTAGTAGCTACTCCAATGAGTGGAACAACACCGAACACGAATGATTAGACCAAATACGTCTCAACTGCAATGGGTCTAATCCCTGAATGACCGTGCGACTAAGTCACCCAGTTGTCCGACTACTATCGTCCACTATCGCCAAAGTGTTACGGTACATCGGGGTCGAATATCCTAACCCCAGATGATGCCCTCGCCTAGCACTACCGCACACGGCGACTAAACGATAGATCCATAAAACATATCCGATAAATCGTGCGATGTGTGCAGCATGTCAATAAGTGAATTTAATGAAAAGGGCTGGTGAGACGGCCCACCTATCCTCCTTTTCATAAATTCACCAACACGATCAAATACGTATATCAAATATCGTAAAACGAAGTTTCACACATGCATATACACACACATATATACATATATAGATGCACTGACCAAATGATTCCACATAATATCATATCAATATCAGAATCAGAATCACATGCAACATAAATACCTAATTTCTTAAAATTAGATTTAATTCCCTACTGCTTACCTCCTACCGATACTTTCTGGATTTTTATAACTTCACCCAAATCTCCTCCAACGTACACCTGTCCCATTATTTACTCAAATCAGATGAGCTTTATGCTTATTCTCAGGAGCTACCTGCTTATTCAAAAGCTAATTTCTATAATTAACTCATCGGGCTCCAAACTTTTATATTTAGTAGAATATGATATTCTAGCTATAAAATCCTTCTACCTCATAATATTTATATTGCCCGATTATTAAATAAAAATACGCAAAGGTATGAACAAGCAGGCAGGTGCAATATACTGCCGTTTTTTTTATTCGACTTGGATTGGTACGAAATTCTCAAAATATAACGTCGGCGCTACGAATAGGCTATTAGCTAAAGAAATTCATCGATTAAATAGCTAAATAGCCAATTTTGAATTTTTGAAGAATTTCTAATTTAATACTCCAATATCAAAATTTGTATTAAAATTTATAATCGGACTCTACGAATAGCAAGGAATACCATACCCAAGTCGGAATTGGAATCGGACGGCTAAATCTTTTTCTTCCTTTTTTTTTTTTCTTCTCCTTTCTTCTTCTCCTTCGCGTTTCGTCTTCTGCGTTCCTTCGTTTCGAGGTAAGGTTTGTTTGTTTTTATATATATATATATGTATAATATATATACACATATATATTATATTATTATTATTATATTATATTATATTATATTATATTATTATTAACATTAACATCTTTATCTTCTTTATTTATTTATTATATTATATTATTAAATTATATATTATATTTTATATTTATCCTCATTGATATTATCCGTTTAACAGTCTTTTTAATCATAATCAATATATAAAATAGGAATAAAATTTATTCCACAATATTAATTTCTTGATTCCAAAATATTATAAAAATATTTATTTGCTATAATAATATTATTTTATACATTCCGAAATCGGGGCATTACATTTTTACTACAATCCAATATAATACTAATATTCAAAAATCTACGTCCAAAAAGCAAACGCCACCCTTCCAACTGGACGGAGGGAGTATAATAATATCTCCTGTCGGACGTGGTTTGCAGGGTATTAGGTTCGGCCGGGAGTTTATCCTGCGCACTTTCGGGTAACGGCTGTGGATTCCCACGTTTTTTAAAAATAACAATAATAATATAATAATATAATTTTACCCGGTGCGCATTTTTGGATAGCGACTGCGAATTCCTACGTTATAAAAAGAATAATATAATAATATCGTAATTTATTATCATTAATTTATTAAATTATATTTTTTAATATTATATCACTAATCAATCGCCGTACTGATTAAAAATTAGTAATAATTTTATAAATTGAGTAATATTTTTATTAAATTTATTTATATATTTTATTTTAAAAACATATATAAAAAGATTAAGATAATTCTGATAAGTGATCATAGGATATAAAAATCAAGAAGATCAAACAAGTTTGGAGTATGAAAAACACAAATTTAAATTTATTTCTTTAAATGCTTTTTATTATTAATTCTCAAATATTTATTTTTGTAATATATATTATTTAATTTAATATTAATTTTTTAAAATTTTTCATCATAAAATTTCATTTAATTATCATATAGTAATTATAATATATATATAAATATTTAAAATATAATCATATTTTTTATATATAATTATAGAAGAATTTTTTTTAAAAAAAAATAGATTTAAAAAATATACAAAATTATATAATTATTTTTATTTATCTTAGTAGTAAAACATATTCTACAAATTCTAAAAATTTTCATTTTATATACCAAAGCAATTCAGATTGTGTAGGACGTTAAGATTGAGTACGAAAAATACAATTTTTGGAAATATGTGTGATATTTTACTAGCGAACTAAATAGAAGATAAATGTGATAATTAAGTATATATAGAAAATAATTTTTGTAATTTATTTTAACTAATTATACATCTCATAAGTTATCGTGATTTTTTACGAAAAAAGTATTTAATATTGACATCATTATAATTAGTAGAAAATACATTTTTATACTAGTATAATACAAATAACCATAAAAGTTTTATTATATATAAATTACATCAATATGTATTTTTTTGGCAAAAAAATTCTCAAATTTTAGCTATTTGAATTTTAGTTAATTTTTTCGAAAAAATTATTTTGCTCTTATACAACAACAATATCAAATATGTAGGGGTTGTTCGGTTGTGGTCTGAACAAGTATTGATTTGAAATTTTATTTAAATAATATTTTGATATAATATTTTGTAAAAAAAATATTTTACTTTTATTGAAAATTGCATGTATTGATTAGTTATATTTTTTTTTGAAAAACAAAAAAAGAAAGCCCTACCCACAATCTATTTATTTTCAAATATATATTCCTTTCGTCCTTTAACAATTTATTTATTTTTTTATTTTTGTATGTCTCACAATAAAATATTCATTTTTTTTTAATAATTGTACTTTCTACAAACATTAAAAATATTCTTACAACTTACAATATATTACACAAATGTCATTACCTTTATATCACACAATACTAATAAGATTATTTTAGTTTTTTTCTATTTTATTCATACTATACTACAATATAATACTAATATTTCTAAAACTTCATGAAAAAAAACAAACGGATACATAGACAAGGTAGAAGAGACTATAGTGTAACATGTGTGGACCCAATGTTTGTTCGCTTCATGTTTTTAAGGAGATGTATTTTTTTGTGTTAGATACAAATGATTGTATTGAAAATATCAAAATTAATATTTTATATAAACTTTTTAATTTTTTAAAAATAATATATATTTCAAGAATTTGTGTCAAGAAAAACAAAAGGTGAAAGAAACGTATTTGGTTATTTTTAATATTTTTTAATACTATCACAAATAATATAAGAAAAAAACTAGGGGTGTCAATTCGTGTTATTGGGTCGTATTTGTATCGGATTGAGCCATGATGATAATAAAAAAAACTGTTAATCCGAACCTGACCCGAACACGAAATTTGACCTGAAACCTTATATCCGAACACGATACGAATTCTTTCAGGTCGGGTTCAGGTTGACCTGAATTAGTTTCAGGTCACCCGAAATCCGAACAAATTCGATGCGAACCCAAAACGAAACAGACCCAAAAACTTAAAAAAAAATTAAATTGACCTAAAAAATATCATTTTTATTTTAAATTTTATATTATTTTATATTTAAAATAATATAAATATTATAAATTAAAATAATAATAATAATAATAATTTTAGGTTAATCTGAAACACGAAACCCAAAATCAAACCTGATTTTTATATTTCAGGTTATCAGATTAACCCAAAACACGACCCGAACGCGATATTAATTTTTTTCGTTTCGGGTTCGAATCGGCCCGATTTTTTTCAAATCCGAAATACCCAAACCCAAACCCTGAAAATTTTCAGATAAAAAAGATTCGATTTTTCGGATCGAGTTTATTTTTGACATCCTAAAAAAAACTTATATATATATATGTATGTATATATAAATAATGATGTTGGATTGTCCTAATAAATTATGATTAATGGAAAAAGACATGTAAGAGAGAGATAGAGAGATATAGATGCATGTGCATTTTCTATCATTGGACAATGCAACAAAGAATATACCAAACATTTAGCGTGTGTCTGCCTGCCTCTATTATATATCAATTTTTAATTAATTAAAATTCAATCTTGCATATGATATTTTAATGTCGCATAATCTTAAATATGATTTTTTTTATTTTTATTTTTTATTTTTGTACATACCACATATTGTTCTTTTTTTTTTAAAAAAAAAAAATATAATTATCCATTTTAATACTCCTTCCGTCCTACTGTCTCAGATACCGTGTCTGCTACACTGTAGATACGGTATTTTAGAAGAAATGTAATTAGTAGATAATTAAAAATGTATTAGTAAAATAATTATCTTATAATATAAATAAGGGTAAACTGTTTTTTAGTCCCGGACCCTCTTATCATTTTAGTTCCGTAAGTGGGCATGTCGCAAACTAGTCCCATAAGTGAAAAATTTTCGCTATTTTAGTCCTCCGGCGCCGGAGACGCCCGCGTGGCTCGCCGGAGGTGATGTGTCCGCCAGGTCAGCGACACATGGCGCTGACCTGGCGGACACGTGGATTTATTTATTTATTTATTATTTTTTTAAAAATTTATTTTTAATTTTATTTATATATTTTAAATTTTTTAATTTGATTTAATTTAAAAAAATAAAAAAAAATTGAAAAAAATAAATAAATCCACGTGTCCGCCAGGTGTCGCTGACCTGGCGGGACACCTGGCGGACACGTCACCTCCGATGAGCTACGCGGACGTCTTCGGCGCCGGAGGACTAAAACAGCGAAAATTTTTCACTTATGGGACTAGTTTGCGACAGGCTCCACTTACGGGACTAAAATGATAAGGGGGTTCAGTTACGGGACTAAAAAAACAGTTTACCCTATAAATAATTATAAATTAAGATTAAGATAACTAATTAGTTTAATTAAAATTAAAAATAAAAAATAAAAATTTAAAATGAGATTAAAGTGTGTAATTATTTTCCAAAAAAGAAAAAAAAGAGACATGGTATGTGAGACGGATATAAACGGCAACATGGACATAGTATCTGGGACGGAGGGAGTAATATTTTAATTTTAAATTTTATAATTTTTTTAATCTTAATTAAACTATTTACTTATCTAAATCTTAATCTATAATTATTTTTACTAAATAAATTATTATTTCTACTTATATATTTCTTAATTATTTACTAATTATACTTTACCTAAATTTATACATGTCCAGGAATAGACCCAAAATATATGGGACGAAGGGATATTAGGGTGTGTTCTTTTATCACATTTTATCTAATTTTTATTATTCATTAAATTTTTTTTCAAAAATATTAAATCAAACATCTAATTTTTATTTTCTATATTATAATAAAAATTAATTTTATTTTCAAAATATTACATCAAATTTTATTTATTATATCACATTATAAACTATTCAAATTCAAATTACTGTTCAAATATTAAAATCCAAATCTCAAACAAACACACTCTAAAAAGACTCTTCAAAAAATAAAAAAACTCTTTTGTCCCGCAACAAAAGTACCATTTATTTTTTGCACTTAAATTTTTTAATATTATTATCTTATTGATTTGTAGTAAAAAAAAAAAAAAAAGACAAAAATACCCTATTAATATAATGTAATATAAAAATAATAATATTTGTGTAATATATTCTAAATTATAAAGGTATTTGTTATGTTGTATAGATACTACAATTATTAAAATTAAAAGTGATACCTTTATTTTATGACGAATAAAAATAAAAAATAATATTTTTTGATGGGACATGAGGAATATAAACATATTAATTATAATAAATTATATACTACAAATACAAGCTTCGTTTTGATTGTAAAACTCAATAACTTTAATAAAATTAGTTTATATTAATTTTAAATAAATAAAAATATTTTTTATTTAATTGTATTATAGTATAAAATTTTATTTAAAAAATAATATTTAAAATATTTAAATATATCTTCTAAATTTATTTTTATTATATATCTTAATTTTTATTTAATTTTTTAC